TGCTCCCCCCCCCCGTCTGTGGGGGGAGAGAAGCCAGGAACCCCTGGAGTCCTTTTTTTTGGGGGGGGGACAAGAGACTGAATCCCTGGGATGGGTTCTTTCTGCCCACTAGAAACTAGCAGGCGCGCAGTTCTCTCCAGGGTGGGGAAGAGAGGGTGCCGGGACCACCACCACCCCCCGGGTTCAAGGCCGGCCATTTTGCCCCCAGGGAGGAGGGACACGTCTGGAAGCCAAGAGGCCGGCGCTCCGGCTGTGCAGGACCCCGAGCTGCTCAGGGAGGGCAGCCGGGTCTTGTGACTGGGGAGCAGACTGGCCGTGGGCACGGGCGGGCGGTCTGGCGTGGTTGCAGGGCCCTGTTTTAGGGAAGACGGGGGTCCTTCCTGTGAAAAGGGTCTCACCTGAGCCTTCCCTCTGGAGGCGTTTCCGTTGGGGGGGGTACTCCCTGGGCTAAGTCAGGCGGAAAGCTGGAGAACGAGGAGGAGGAGGAGAAGAACTATAAATGGCTGGAGAGCTTGGGGTGTGTGTGTGTGTGCAGGGGTTCTCCGGCTGTGGGGCCAGGGGTGGGAAGTTCGAATCCCCCACTGGGCCTCCCTCCTTGACCAGGGGCTGGACTGGATGATCCAGAGGTCCCCATCCAGTTCTAAAGCGGCTGTTATTATTATATTCTGAGGATGGATCTCCAAAGATCATGTACTGTACCCTACAGTTGTTGTTAAGTGGGGAGATCAAGGACCTTGATGTGGCCCCTTGGTCGGTGGCGGCAGCAGCTGGGCAGTGGATGATGCTTTCGCTGCAGGGGCATCAGCCACTCTTCCCCCCCCCTCCCGCCGCCTTTGGATGAGGCTGTCCTGCTGCTCCTTCTCTGTTGTCAGAAGCCTTTCTCGTTTTGCATCGGTGGCTAGCCGTGGTGCACACCCGCCCTCGGAGGCAAACCCGCCTTTGGTGTGAAGGGGTTGCCCTGCGGCCGGAAAGGCAGGGAGGTTGTGTGGGGGGGGAGTTGGGGTCTCCGACCCCCTGCAGGCCAATTCCCCTTTCCCCAAACACCCGCCTCCAGCAGAGCAGAAGATGGACAGACCTCCGGCTGACCAAGGGGCTGGACTCCCAGGAAGGCCCCCCCCTCGCGGAGGCCCCTCTCTGACCACCCCACCCCTTGCAGCTGCTTTCTCTCTCTCTTTCTCTCTCTCTTTTTTGCCTCTCCTCCAGCTCAGGGTCTTTGAACTCCTCCGAGGGGCTTGGGAGAAGCCAAGAATGCCAAATATCCGGAGGACAAGGCCAGCCCCGGCTGCTTGGGTGGGGAGTAGATGGGTCTCAACAAGGCCGGAGGGGAGGGAAGGGGAAACCTGGGGGTTCCTGGGCCAATGTTATGAGGTGGTTGGGGGGGAGTTGCGTGAACCTGCCTCTTTTTAAATTCTCGTGGCTTTCCATCGCTTCTTCCCGGGTCCCCCCTTTGGGTCCTCCATCTCTGGGTGTATGAATGTGGAAAAGGCACCCTCTCCCAATGGAAAAGGGGGGGGTCCTCTGTGAGGCCACCCCAGAGTTTTGGACATGGGGAAGAAGAACAAGAGAGGGTTCTCTCTCCGGGATGGTTGGAAAACGTGCACCTCAGGAAGGGAAGGGAAGCGGGGAGGAGAGGAGACGGTCCCCATTCACCCTTCCAGCCGGCACAAAGTTTGAGAAAGGGTGGGTGGGTGAGCAGGATATCGCAACATCGCCCCCCCCCCCCCCCCCGTTTGGCATAAGGGGCCATTCCTCTCCTGGCTTGGTCTGTGGTGAAGAGAGGGGAATAATCTTCTCATCTGAGCGACCATCCCAGCGCCTGTCGTTCGGGGCCGGGGTGAGACCTGCCTTGAATGCAGAAGGATCTGGGTTCAATTCTCGGCATGCCCAGAGCTGGCCCTGCAGAGGAAGGTCACTGCCTCAGACAGCAAATGCTGGGGTGTGTGTGTCCATCTCCTTTTCTGGACCGTTGGACGAGAGAAGGGTATGGGCCACAAAACCCAGATTCATCTCTGGGTCCCAGGGGGTCCCTTGCAGCCACGCGGAGAACATATTTCTTTCACCAACCACGGCAGACCGTGCAAAGTTACATTCAGGGGAGAAGCTCCGTCTATCTATCGCAACAGAAGCATCAAAGAGTTTTGTGGCACCCGAAAGACTTAACAAATTTTATGTGGCCAAATCATTCACGGACTGCAGACCCTTGTTTCCTGAGAGGCCCGGTCATTAAACGCCTTCGCTCAGAGCCCAGACCACTGGTTTTCTCAAGAGTAGCTTTTGCTACCTGTTACAGTGCTTAATATTTGGAAAGTAACTCGTACCTCGGCTTGCTGGCTGGCTGGCTTATCTGTTTGTTCATTTGTTTAAATTATTATTTTTTACCACGTCTTTCTCCTTTAAAAGGACCCAGGGGGGCTCATATCATTGAAACTGTTGTTGTTTAGTTGTTAAGTCGTGTCTGACTCTTCGTGACCCCACTGACCAGAGCATGCCAGGCCCTCCTGTCTTCCACTGCCTCCCGGAGTTGGGTCAAAGTCATGTCGGTCGCTTCTCCAGCCGTCCCGCCCTCTGTCGTCCCCTTTTCCTCTTGCCTTCACACTTTCCCAACATTAAGGTCTTTTCCAGGGAGTCTTCTCTTCTCATGAGATGACCAAAGGACTGGAGCCTCAGCTTCAGGATCTGTCCTTCCAGTGAACAGTCAGGGTTGATTTCCTTTAGAACGGATAGCTTTGTTCTCCTTGCAGTCCAGGGGATTGCCAAGAGTCTTGAAATACAATATATAAAATTAAAAACAATAAGTATATAAATATTAAAAACATGCTATTCTGAGAAACGGTAAACCCAAGCAATACTAAAAACATAGGCAAAGCAGGAATGCGCAACAATCCATTTAAAAAGGCATTTATTTTAGCCCTTTGTTATTTGTCTGTTTGTTTATTTATAAAAACATTAGAAAGAAACAAGGGACCTGCCTAAAACTTGGGGGGGGGGGAACATTAGCAAAATGTTTCTGACAAAGCATTTGAAAAATAACTTCAAAAAGTAACTGGGAAGCCATTACTCGTTCTAGTAAAGTAACTCCATTACTGGAACAACTTTGTCTCTGTATACCATGCTCCTTCCTTCTGCGTTTGTTGCCAAGAAAAAAAGCTCTCGGGAGACACTCAACGTTGCTGTCCGGGTCGGCAGAACCAGAGAGGTCCTGATCCTTTCCTCGGTGTCTCTTCCTTCCATAGCCTGTGCGGTCGGCATGTTCAAACCCACCCAGGGCGAAGGGTCTTGCCAGAACTGCCCCTCGTTCAGCAACTCGCAGTCTCCGGGGTCCAGCGAGTGTTCGTGTCGTGTCGGATTCTACCGGACGGAGAAGGATCCTGTGACCAAACCATGCACCAGTGAGTGACCGCTGGAGCTTGGGGGGGGGACAAGGGGACCCTTATCGCTCAAGGATGTGGCCGACTGTCAGACCACAGCTCCCAGTGGCTGTGCTGGCCGTGGGAGAGGACTTGCGAGGGGGACGGGTCGGTGGGTGGGTGGCGGGGAAAACAAGACCCCCAGGTCTGAGTTTTGCCTTTCCGTCCCGTGAGCAGCGATACCCTCTGCCCCGCGCAGCATCGTAGCCAAGATCAACGGCTCGGTGGCTGTCTTGGAGTGGAGCGAGCCCTTGGAGAACGGTGGCCGAGACGACGTGGCCTACCACGTCCTCTGCATGGAGTGTTCCGAGAGGCAGGGCTGCCGGCTTTGCAACCGCCTGGTCTACGCCCCGAGAGCCCGAGGCCTGGTGGACCGCACGGTCACCGTAGAGGGCCTCCAGCCGTACATCACCTACTCCTTCCAGATCCAGTCCGTCAACGGCGTCTCGGAGCTGAGCCACAACCTGCCGCATTCGGAGTCCGTCAACATCACGACCAACAAAGACGGTGAGCCGGCCTCTGAGGTGCGGGGAAACCTCCCACCTCGGTTTTGTTGCTCTTGGTCCGCTGTCTGGTGTTCGTTTTCTTCCCGCCTTTGCTTTGTGCCAAGTGGTAGGACTTGGTTTTGAATTCCCGCCTGGAAGAATCCCTGTTTGGTTTCATTTCATCCCCTAAGGTGCCGTCCATCTTAGTGCCCCACTGGCCCCAGCAGGCGGCCCAAAACAGCATCTCAAGGGCTCGTGTTCAGCTGGAGCTGCGCATCTGGTATTGTCCAGTAGACGGCCCCTGAACACCAACGTTCAGCTTAGCCATTGCAGGCCATCCCTCGGTCCCATCGTATGGCAGCAGATCCCATGTATGTCATGTGCTCCAGATCAAGCACAGAGACCAGCCTCCTTCCTCTGCTCTCCAAATGAAGCAGGAGAAGGTTATTTATTTCAGACCTTTCTGTGCTATTTTTTTTTGAGGACGTTCAAAGTTCTTCACAATGTAAAAACTAAAAGACACAATTTATCTGATCAAATGGAACAGGGTCAATGGAAAGAGCTGTAAGGAAGCACCAGTTTGGAAAAATCACCTTTTTAATTCCAGAGGCAGTCTGTGTTTAAGCTCTTCGGAAAGAAAAACTCCGCCATTTTGGAGCCTGGATGTTTGAAGTTTCTAGTCCTCATTAATATTCTGCCAGGGCGTCTGGCCAGCAGAGGCTCCTGAGTGGACCTCTTCCGGCAGCTGCGGGATTGTTGTCGGAGAGCTGGTTTGGAAAGAGTCAGTCCCCAGCAAAGCCCAGTACACAACCGATTGCAGAAAAGCACGATGTTGACTCTAATACAACCACGGACAGTAAACACTTGATAAGATCCCATGAAGCTGAAAGAGGACGGAGCCTTAAAGTGGCTTCAAGGCGCTGTCTGCTAAAAATATAGCAAGGAAGTGTCTGGGACCTACATTTAGCCATTCAGTCTTTCTGGTATCAGTGCCATTAACTGCCAGCCTGTTTTTTTTTAAAAAAATGGCTTTTATTATTGTAAGTCCCAGAAGCATGCCTTTGATACATGGAGAGGTTAGTTCTATTTGAACTTCAGTTCACTCTTGGGATCAAAGCACTGCGTTTCCCTGAAAACAAGACAGGGTCTTATATTAACTTTTGCTCCAAAAATGCATTGGGGCTTATTTTCAGGGGATGTTTTTTTTTTAATTTACAACAATCTACATTTATTCAAATACAGTCCCGTCATCTTCTGGTTGCTGCACAAGGGTGGAGGATGAGGGTTTCGCTGAACCATGGCTGATTTTTGGGATAGGTCTTATATGATGAGCATCCTGAAAAATCCTACTAGGGCTTATTTTCAGGTTGGGTCTTATTTTCGGGGAAACAGGTTATAAATCAGGTGCGCAGTGCATGAAAAATGTTTGTTTTTTGGTCTGAACTGGGTTCCTCTTATTTAAACTTCTGAAAAGGCTTTAAATGCAGTGTAACCAACTGAAAGTGATGGTGTAAATTCGGACCCCCCTTATCCACGGGATCTGTGCTTATTCCACAGTCTGAAAATATTAAAAATATTGCAAGAAAAGTTCTAGATACTGTATACAAATTTCTAAAGATGAAGTTTGCAGAACTGGCCGTTAGAGGGGGCCAGAGGTCACAACATTCACTATAATCTGCATTTTTCAGTATGCACGCACTCTGAATTCCCTGGGGGGCCCATGTCTTCCCTTTGTGTTTGCAGTCCCCCAGCCTGTTTCTGAGATCCAGCAAATATTGATCAACCGCAGTGGGATGACCCTGGTGTGGCCCCCCACCCAGCCACCGACAGGCAACATCTTGGACTATGAAGTGAAATACTATGAGAAGGTGAGCGGAAGTGGCCAGATGGGCAAGAGGAGGAGGTTGTGTGTTAAAACAGAACGATGTGAGGCTTGGGGGTTTTCTTTGGGGTACCGCTGGGCCTTGGAGGGGAGGGTGTAGAGTCAGGATTTCACTCCGGATGGTGCCTCCTTCCATAGGGTGTCGGAGGACCCATGTTTGTGAAGACGGTCGAGAACCGGGTGACCCTCACCAGTTTGCGTCAGGGGACGGTGTACGGCGTCCAGGTTCGGGCCCGCTCCGAGGCCGGCTACGGCGGATTCGGTCCCGAAAAGGCCTTCAAAACGGAAGACAGTGGTGAGGAGGAAAGGGGTCTGTGGGTCACTAGCATCGTCCTCCTTCAAGCTTGGTGATATTTTCAGAGCTTGAATGAATGGTCCGTGAAGATTTTTTTTTCCTTAAAGGGTGCAAGGAAGAAAATCTAGCTGTCGCTGTCCTGGGGAGAGAACCTTTCATGGGGCAGTTCCGTCCCAGTGAGAAGGAGCCCCCCCTCCCCTTTGCCACTGCAAAAGTGGTGCGGTTCCCCCTTCTCTAGACCAGAGCTTTGAACTTCATTTGAGACCGGGGGGGGGGAGAGTGGCCCATTACCTGCAAGGTGCCTTTTGGAGGTTGTCATTGCTCATTACAGACAGGTGGCGAGTCAATGTCACATTACAATTTGGGTGTGGGTGTGTGTTTGTGATCTTTTTTTACAAAATGGAGCCGTTTAAACAGATTTTTGAAATGTCACCTGAATATTTTTCAACCATTGAATGTTATGCATCACATCCCCCCCCCGGTTTTGGCTCCCTTTTGCCTTTCTTTTACAAGTAAAGGCGTTGGCCCTTCGTACCCCAATGAAATGTTGGGCTGTTTCCAAGCTTTGCACCAATAATATTATCAGAACTTTTGGATCTTCACTTTTCACCCTCCGTTCCAATCTGCCCTTCTCCCTTCCCGTTGCTCCTGGTGGTGTTGTAAAACCACTCCCCGTCCACGCGGTACAACCCTTTTCTCTCCTCCTTCCTCTCCACCCTCTCTCTACAGAGACAGACGGCAGCGCTGAGAAGTTAGCGCTCATTGTTGGCACGGCTGCTTTGGGAACGCTCCTGGTCCTCGCGGTGGTCATTGTTGCCATTGTCTGCCTCCGGTAAGGTCTTGCACCCCAAAACTGAGTGCTGGGAGGGTTGCCAAATGAACAAGGGAGGGCCTGAGCCTGCTAGGAGAGAGCCTGGTGGCACGTAGGTTCAACTGCAGGAGTGCAGCCAATACTCTGCTCACCACCTGGGTTCAATCCCAGGGAGCCGGCTCAAGGCTCGCTCAGCCTTCCATCCTTCTAAGGTTGGTCAACTGAGTACCCAGCTTGCTGGGTTTGTGTGTGTGTGTGTGTAGCGTGCGTGATTGAATTGATAAAAAACCCCAGAGAGTGCTTTGAGCGTTATGAGGCGGCACAGAAGCAACACACTTTGTTCCCCCCCCCTTTTTTTTTTCTTTTTAAGGAAACCAGAAATGGAATGCGGGGGGGAGGATAAAGGAAAGGACAGGGGAGCTGTCCTGAATGGATGAATTAATTGAATGTCCAGGGGAATAGAGGAGAGGAATAATCCCAAAATTAGGCTTTCTGTGGGACAGTTAGACCAGACAGGGCTGAAAGGAGCGCTAGAGGAGACCAACCTCCCCCCTGACCCTCCCACCACCACCACCACCCCTTTGCAGCCTCAGAAGCAGCAGGGTTTCCCAATGGGATCAAGGAGTAGCTTGAACGAGGAGGAATTTGGGTGAAGGGGACGGGACGGTGGCTGCGGGAGCAACGCAACGGGGGAGAGGGGGACAACCTGGAAGCAAAGGCGTTGCCACTGATGGGACCCCCCCCCTTGCTTCCGGCCTGCAGGCGCCAGGGCTCCTCGAGATCACGCGAGCCAGAATACTCGGACAAGCCTGGCCAGTACCTGATCGGGCACGGTGAGTCAATGCCGGAAGGCAGAAGTGGTGCCGGCGGGGGGGGGGGGGGGTCGGTTCAAAGGCCGTGGGGAGGACCAGGTGGAGAGGCATCGGCCTTTTTTTAATCCCAGTTTTGTCACAGCCGGTCGGTGAGTTAGATTCAGTTGGCCAGGCATTTGTGAAAGGGTTCTTTGGCTGAGGGACGACCCCCCCACCCCCTCGCTTTGCCCCCTTCTTTTCGGTGCAGGCACCAAAGTCTACATTGACCCGTTCACCTACGAGGACCCAAACGAGGCGGTGCGGGAGTTTGCCAAAGAAATCGACGTCTCCTACGTGAAAATTGAGGAGGTCATTGGTGCAGGTAAGAGCCCCCCCCAAGTCCTCCTGGTCTCCATGTTTTCCGTGCATGGAACTGGGACCAAACTGCCCAGCTGTGGACCTCAAAGCAAGGGCAGACCCACCTTTCCCAGTTCTAGGTGTCGGAGACCCCCTTTGACCCCCCCCCCAAAAAAGAGTGACTTTCCCCCAGGTTCGGTCCACTTCTCCTTACAGCAGCTTTTCTGGGCCAGTTTGCTTTTCTGACCCAAACGCTTGTTCTGGCAGGGGAGTTTGGCGAAGTCTGTCGGGGTCTCCTGAAGGTGCCGGGGAAAAAGGAAATCTACGTGGCCATCAAGACCCTGAAAGGGGGCTACACGGAGAAGCAGCGCCGGGAATTCCTGAGCGAGGCCAGCATCATGGGCCAGTTTGAGCACCCCAACATCATCCGCCTCGACGGGGTCATCACCAACAGCGTGCCGGTCATGATCATCACCGAATTCATGGAGAACGGGGCTCTCGACTCCTTCCTCCGGGTAAGGGGGGGCAGGAAGGGAGGCCCTGATCTGGGGTCAAGTCGTGAGAGGCGGCACGAACAGGTGACTTATGCCTGAACTTGCAAAATTTTTGCTTTTTTCCCTCCCTTTGGACAGCATTTCCCATAAACCCACTCTGGCCGGTGAATGCTGGGAATTTGGGGCCCAGAAAACCCTTTCTGCTTAAATAGGCATCTTAATAAAGGTTGTAGCCTGCACAATTAATTTGTAAACCACCCAGGGAGTGCTTTTAAGTGCTGTGGGGTGGTATATAAGCAACACACATTTTAAAAATATTTTTCCTTGGTAATGCTGCATGCCTAGCAATCAACATTTTTACTTAACATTTTTAACATGGTGTTATTATTTTTTCATTTCATGTTTAAATAATGTAATGTTTTTAGCTTTTAATATTGTTTTTATTTTAAGTGACAGAAGCTACCTTGGGTCCTTTTTTAAGGTGAAAGATGGGGTGAAAATATTTTAAATAAAATAACCAGCCCAGTTCAGAGCTTCTAAAACCTTTTCCTCGGCTGCTGTTGAGCTCCGCGCGTGCACCTGATTCTTCTGGGTCTTTCGGTGCTCAAACGCCTTAATCTCCGTCCCAGCGAACGCCAACCGTTTCAGGTCTGGGGCTCCGACAGGAGAGCCCTTCTGTCTCCCTCGGGCCGGGCCCGGGCCCTCTTAACTGCCCAGTGACTCCGTTGCTTTCTCTGTTGCCTGCCCGCAGCTGAACGACGGCCAGTTCACACCCATCCAGCTGGTGGGGATGCTCCGTGGGATCGCCTCAGGCATGCGCTACCTCTCGGACATGAGCTACGTGCACCGAGACCTGGCCGCCCGGAACATCCTGGTCAACAGCAACCTCGTCTGCAAAGTCTCGGATTTTGGACTGTCCCGCTTCCTCGAAGAGAACTCGTCTGACCCCACCTACACCAGCTCCCTGGTAAGGAGAGGAACTCCTTTCCTTCCTCCCTCCCTCCCTTCCTTTCTTCCTTCCTTCCATTTTTATTTTTCCTTCCTCCCTTCCTTCCTTCCATCCTCCCTCCCTTCATTCCTTCCTTTCTTCCCTCCATCATCAGTTCCTTCCTTCCTTCTGGAAATTGACACTCTCCGGTTAAACACCAGTCTTCCTGGCTCTTTAAGGGTCTGGATCGGCAAACATGATCAAGGGTGGAGAAGCCGGAGAGATAACGATACCTCTTAGAGAGCCGGACTCCTGGGTTCCCTGTGGAAAGAGTGGAGCCTGCTGTTTAGGTCAAGGGCCTCTGAGGCAGGACGCCTGGGTCCTCTGGAGGAAGGGGAGGGGGCTTGAGCAGGAAGGCTGAGCACGGGCGAGGGTTTGACAAGTTCCATCCAGTGTCAGTGGTTGATCTGATGGTTTGAAGGAGAAGGAAGAGGTACAGGACCAGAGAATTGCTGGTGGAAAGTGGGAGTAATGGTAAAAGGGTCATGATAACCCAAAATGATAATCCAAAAGATAACCCCTTCTAAGATGCCTCTCAGCCCCACTGCCTCTTCTGAAGCATCACTGCCTCTTGTAGCATCGATGGAGGGTCCGTTTCCATTAATATTGTCTTTAGCAAAGCCAAGAATCCTTTTCTAGGCCAGCTGGAGCAGAAGGGAGACCCCACAACATGAGAGAGAGAGAGGGAGAGAGGAGGAGAAGGAGGAGGAGGAGGAAACGCAATGCCTCCGGTCGGGAGAAGGCAGACGACCCCTTCCCGCGGCCGCAGAGGCGCTTGAGGGAAGGCGCAGCGCTTCAGCCATGCTTGATTCTCTCCTCTCTGCTGACGTTCCTCCTCAGGGCGGGAAGATCCCGATTCGGTGGACGGCCCCCGAGGCCATCGCCTTCCGCAAATTCACCTCTGCCAGCGACGTCTGGAGTTACGGCATCGTGATGTGGGAAGTGATGTCATTCGGAGAGAGGCCGTACTGGGACATGTCTAACCAGGATGTGAGTGGTCGCCCTCCACCATTCAATCGTTCGTTGCCTTCTCTAGATGAGATGCTTTGCCCTTCCTCTGGCCTTCTAAAACCTGCTTCCAGAGTAGACTTCGATCTAGATGGGCGGAGTATGAATAGAATGAATGAACAAATGAATAAAATAAAATAAAATCCAGGTTTGCCTCTCTGTGTAGGTACATTAGCAAGTCTGTCCTCGTTTGGGAGGGTGGTGGCCTTGGGTGTTGAGCCCACCGGCCTTCCAGACTGGCACCCCTCTGTCTGTGCCCCTCCCTGGCCTTGTGCTCGTCTGACACTTCATGCACTTGACCCCCCCATGACACATTCCCCCCCCCATCTTATATTTGTATTCTGGCAGAAAACGGTTCTTGAAAAGGATGTGCCACCTGCGGTTGTGAACCGCCCAGAGTGTTTGCACTAAAGAGGCAGGAGAAAAGTCTCAATCAAGCTGTCATGCAATAGGTTGTCTCAACAAGCCACAGCCCCCCCCCCAAAAAATAAATAAAAAAATAAAAAAAAGACAAAACTCTCTGGCCCGGTATAATAAAATAAACAGTTGATCCCCGCAGGTGATCCAGCTGCCTCTACAATGTTCATCCCTTCCTGCCTTACAGGTTGTCTCAACAAGCCACAGCCAAAATAAAATAAAATTAAAAAAAAGTAAAAAATACAAAACTCTCTGGGCCCGGTTTAATAAACAGTTGATCCCTGCAGGTGATCCAGCTGTCTCTACAATGTTCATCCCTTCCTGTCTTACCTTTCCGGATAAAGTTGTTCTCCACACGGATATTTCTTTCTTACCCAAAGTTGTCTCTGCTTTTCATCTCAACCAACCACTTGTACTACCTACACTGTTTGCTTCTCCTACGTCGGACATAGAACGCATGCTCCACACGCTAGATGTTAAGAGGGCCCTTGCCTTTTATGTTTCCAGGACCAAGGACTTTCGTTCTTCTTCCAGGCTTTTTCTTTGCTACTTTGGACACAAGAAGGGCTCCCGCCCCCCACAGACTGCCCCACATCCCTCCATCAGCTGATGCTCGACTGTTGGCAGAAGGACCGGAACGCACGGCCCCGATTCGCCCAGATTGTCAACTCCTTGGACAAGCTGATCCGGAACCCCGCCAGCCTCAAAATCGTCTCGCGGGGAAATGGAGGGTGAGTCGGTGGGCCTCCGCCTTCAGAAGTGGTTATTCTTGGGGTGTTTCATCCCAAGATAGAAAATCCTTCCCTTTGCCTGTTTTCTCCACCCCCTCCTCGTCTCATCAAGTACGATTGCCAGGGAACGCTTTACTGTTTGACTTTCGAAAAAATGGCAGCACAGTGACATGCTCAAACCCAAGAAGGCTGGTTTTTTTAAATTTATGTTTGATTTAATTTGTTTAAATCTTTAGCCCACCTTTCTCCTTTAAAAGACCAAAAGCGTTTTTTTTAAACTGGATGGAAAGCAGCCACCCCCAGCCAAGTGACCTCTAGATGTGTCGGACTACAATTCCCATCTTCTCTGGTTTATGGGCATGATGGAAACTGGGGACCACCCTAACCCCCTGGCCTTTCTCATTTGCCATGCCGCCCTGCGCCTCTTCCTGAAGGATCGCGAACCTCCGACTCCTTCCTTACTGCTCCTGACATTTCAACAAAATGATCTCTCTCTCTCTCTCTCTCTCTCTCTCTCTCTCTCTCTGTTTCTATGCTGTCCACTTTTGACTCAGGCCGTCCCACCCACTGCTGGACCAGCGCCTCCCCCACTATTCCTCCTTCGGCTCCGTCAGCGACTGGCTACGAGCCATCAAAATGGGCCGCTACGAAGAGAATTTCACCAATGCCGGGTTCACCTCCTTTGAGCTGGTCAGCCAGCTGTCAACCGAGTGAGTAGGAGGTGGGAAGGAGCTAGGAAACCCGAAGCATTTGGGGGCGGGCAGGCAAGACAGACAGACAGACAGCTGGGTGGGTGGCTCAGGCCAGACAAAAAGGAAGAGGGAAGCAGGGCCGAGAAAGAAGGATTTCTGCAGAAACAGTGGAACTCCCTGTCACAAGATGTTCTGCTGATGGCTGCTAACTTCGAACCTCTTTCAAAGGGGATTGGGTTCAGAACTCGCAGAGAAGCTAGGGCTGTGAGCGAGAACCTTCTCTTTAGGAGAAAGGCGGGGTAAAAATATAAACCAGTGATACAAACCAATTGTTTAAACCAATAAACAAAATTGGTTGGAGTGGCTGAATTGATTGACCACCACGTTCAGTTGCTGGGGGATATGAAACAGATGCAGTTGTGGTCCTTGGGTCCCAGGACGATGCTGTGCCAGGTCTTGGAACAGTTATTCTCTGGACATTGGAGTTTCTGGGGGTTAGAAACACACACACACACAAACACACACACACACACACACACACCAAAGTTAACTTTTCCATGCATTGGCTTCTCTTCGGTCCTTAACGCAGCGGCTTTTAACTTCTGTTTTACCATCTAGGGATCTGCTTCGAATTGGAGTGACTTTGGCCGGTCACCAAAAGAAGATATTGTCCAGCGTCCAGAATATGCGTGTCCAGAACAAAGCCGGGCCGTCCGTGGCGGGAGCCAAAGGGGGACATTACTGACTCGAAATGCAGCAATGGGACGTGGAGGGAACGTAATCCTTGGTTTTGATAACCTTTCTTCCCCATCCGGCTCTCTGCAAAAGAGGAATCAAGTTGTGAAACCAGCTGCTTCTCTTGGGACGTCAGAGGCCTCCGGATCCACGCCTGCTCCCTTTTTTCCCCCTTGTTTTGGAACAAAATAATCAAGTCTCCTCAACATAGTTTTGTATTATTGGGATTTTGTTTTCCTGTGTTTTTCTCCTTATTTTCTTTTTCTGGAAGGGTTGCAAGGATATTTAACTCCTAAGACTATGTGACAAAGAGGGTGGATTATTTTGCTCTTCTAGTTCCATTATCCTTTAAGGCTGGGGGCTTCTTCGTTAAGGGCCAGATCTTTTTGGCCCCTGCTCAGGACGGCTGCCCTCTTCGGTACCGGCAAAGAGGGCTGCCCGGTCCTCGGGCGTTCTCCATCCATCTCCTCGGCCCCGGGTCGTGGACTTCTTGCAAAGCATCTCAGCCTTGACGTGGACGCTTCCTTTTCGTTCCAGACCTTCAGAAAAGGAGGAAGGACAGAGAGGGCCAGACATTGTTTCCCAAATTCCCGGACAGATGGCTCTGTCCCAGCATGGCAGCCCATTCGCTCCTCGGTGGAAGGCTGCCCTTCTCGTTCTAGATCCCGGGAGGGCTACTCCGAGGGGTGGACTTTTGAGTTTAAAGGACCCTGACTCGGAAAAGAAAACAGCATTCTGCCTGAAGAGATACCAAACTCTCTGTGAAAACTCAGCGTAGCCACTACATTTTGGAGGTTGGAAGCCCTCCGTAGTCTGCTGCCATTTTATACATACCTATATATATATTTTTTATTTTTTTTTAACCTTCGCCTCTTTCTAAAAATTGTGCTCTGTTGGAGGACACATACGGGATAATCACCAGGGGCCTTATAAAACATGTTTTCGTACCTGATGAGAGGTGCATAGGGACTCTTGTCTGCTGAACCCCAGGAATGACCCGCCCTGCGGCCATCAGGGGAAAAGGCTGGGGCTTCGTGTACATTTCGGGCGGACCCACTGTCTAATAGCCAAAGAATGACATGCATGTGGTGTTGCACAACAGTGGGACTTGGTGGGTAATGATGTCATTGCTGAGGATGATGTCATATCCATGTCAAGCCAAGAGGGGGCAACTGTATGGTGACGGCGTAATTTCTGCCCATACGGGCAGGATGAACGATTGTGAGGATACGTAACTGTATGACAATCAAAAAAACCAACAACTGTGCACTTTCTGATGATGTCATTGTGATGATGTCACGGGGAGAAAGTGAGAACTTTGGATCTCAGATAGAGCTTACCGTTGCCTTCATTGGCCCAAAGTTTGGAGAATCTTAAGGGAATCCTGGACACGGGAATATGATGTCATCCTGACAGCAAAACCATGTGCCTCTGGATAAAGTGGGTGCTCATGATGATGTCATAGGTAATGGGTCTGTGATGTCATAAGCAAGCCCCACTTCTTTTTTGTATCATTCCTTTAACCTTCATATTGAAGGCGGTAATGTTGCTTTTTATTAAAAAATGTATCTTGTAAACCAAAATTAAGGGAATGTTGACATGGTGGGGGCAGTTGTCCCGGGTAGAAGATTTTGGTGCTCAGCCACCTTCCTCTTATCTAATCCTTCCACTCCTTTTCCTTCTTTGACGAATCCGAACGGATCCACGTTCTAGATCCCAAATCATGGCACCACCGGATTCCTCACCAATTAAGCTCCTTATTTGTATTTTTAGCTGCAGGTGTGAGCCTTTCTTTTTTGCTATCCCCTACCCCCACCCCCAAGAAAGAATTAAGGGCAGTTTCCTTTGAGGCTCTCATCAATGCCATCTGGGCCTAAGGATCCGGGGGGGGGGGAACGGATGGATGTGGAAACGAAACAGATTTAAGAACAGAAACTTAAAAAGACACTTGGCTTTCCACTTCTCCAACTCCAAGGGAGTTTCTGCTTCCCTCTTCTTCATCCTGAGGGTCCTATATGCTGGGGATGATGGGTGTTGTCATTGAATTCACCCAAGGAGGGGCCCCCGCAGGGGCGGGGGTAGGATCCCTGCTCCATGTGGTGCCTTTGGAGAGACCGTGGTCCCCTTTCTGAGGTGTGGGGGGGAGATAAGGCCTCTTCTTTGAACCTCTCTATTAACCCCGGTCTTGATTATTGGGGAGAGGATGGGAGGTGGCTAATCGAATCCCTTTGAGGGGAGGGGGCTCTTGCCACTGAACCTTCTGCAGCACAAGTGGACCTGGGGAGGGGGGGGATCTCTGTTTTCTACCCAGTGGGTAGGAGTTGGAGGTCTAGCTGCCCCACAGAGCCTGTCCTTCCCCCTGGGGGATGGAGAGGAAATGGCCCATTTAAAACAAAATATTTTTCAGTTATCCTTTTTGGACTGCTTAATGAAAGTCTCCCTCTTTTATTTAAAACAACAACAACCCCCAAATCACGGGACTCAGAAATTTACACATAAGGTGGGAGTGTCGTGATGGGAAGTAGGAGGTTTAACCTGCAGAGTAAGCAAGGAAAAAGGGACTCTGGCAGTCCTGCAAAAAAAAAGAAAAAAAAAGAACATGGAAAAAGGGACTCTGGCAGTCCTGCAAAAAAAGAACATGGGCTTTCAAGTTCCTAGTCCTCAAGGTTGCTAGATTTCCTTCCACTCCCCCTCCTTCGTTTCTCTTCTCTCTTTTTTTCTGTCCCATGGCTCTGACAAACCCGTTCTGAAATAGGAAAGTATGTGCAGAATGCTTTCTGGGTGCCAGGAGCCTGTAAATAAACATCGCGTTGATGGGCTTCCTGGAAGATCTGGGTTCGCTCCCTGCGGAAGTTTAAAAGGTGTCGAGTAAACAGAAGGCAAGTCTCAGCGCAGCTTTTAGAGGAAGAGAGAAACTCTCTCCGGCTTAAGAGGGCTTTAAGAGGGAAGCGATGGGGCAGCCAAAGTTCCTGCTACCTTGGCTTCTCAGCTAGGACTTGGGGAAAGTTCAGTTCCTTGGACTTCCAACTCCCAGGAAGGCCACCGCCCGCATGCCAGTGGCAGGCAGGCTTCTGAGTCCTTAAATCCAGAAAAAAAGAGGAATTTTGCAAAGTTTTGTGTGCCTCGTTGCTTGCCGCCCTTCAAGGTCGTCGTCCTTTGAGTGGAGTCATCCTGCTGGAATCTGGACGCTGGGTTAGAAAACCCCGTCACCCCTTTGGTCTCAAGCAGGGAGGGTTTGCTTAAGATCTGTCGAGGAGCCTCCCCCCCCGTCCCTTCAGCCCCCAACCGGCAGAATCTGTGGGGCCACGGCTGCCTGGTTCTGGGGACTGGGAGGGGGGGAGAGCAGAGGATTGTCATTCAGAGCAATTTTGATTTATAAGCCACTGAACCCACCCACCTGGCCCTTCTTGCCCGCAGCCGCTCTGGGCTTTTTCAAGCCGGGGCAGAGTTTTGGAAATTTGACTTTGGTTGACTTAAATCACCGTCCTGTGCGGTCAAGTCGATTCTGACTCACGCGGGAATGTTTTTCAGGTTCTTCCAGGTAGAGAGGCCTCATATTTTAGGGCATGTCAATGTACAGACAGAGAACAGTGCTTGAAAGCATTATTTTGAAGGGGGTTACAACTTTCAAAAAGTAATGTTTTTGAACTTTGGGAGAAGGAACCGCCTCAGAAGGGTTTTCCCATTCCCTTTTTTTTGGGGGGGGGGACTGCAGCCTGCCCAAGGCCACCCAGGCTGGCTCACGGTGGGGGGATTCGAATTCCAAACTCCAGCTCCCGGAAACCCGCCAGCCTGTTGTCATCGAAACGAGACCCGTTTTCTAGGTTTTGCACAGGCAGAGCTGTCGATTTAAAATTAGGGAAAGGAGCTGGCACTTTTTTTTAAGGAGTTGGCACTTTTGAAGCTCAACTGATTTATGACAGCTTGGATGTTGTTGCTTTTTGCAAAATTATTATGGCTGTCATAAATCCCTTGCCCTCAAGGGGCCAAAGGACTCCGCTGGCTGAGGCGAGGAGGGCTTTTTCCTTTATTTATTCACTTCGCTCGGTTGTTCCCTTTGCCACAGAGGAGCAGGGCCGATTCCTTTTGGGAACTGTTCCAGGGGAAGATTTAAAATGGTTTCCGCTTGGAAAGGGGGGGGGGGAATGTCTTTTCTTTCCACCCCATTCCAAGAGGAAGGGGAGGTCCGAAACTTTGCAGAAGTTGGAAACTGGGCCAAATTCTGGCACCTTTCAATCCCAATATTTTTGCATTCTTACTTGAAAATTCAGACACAAGAGAGATGCTTGAAAAAAAAAAGGATAATGTAACATATGTGTCCTTCGGAGATAATGTAACATATGGATCATCCCCCAACTAGAGAAAGACCATGGAATCAGTATCATTCACATTCATGTTGAGATGATGATCACAGGATCTTGGCTCACATCCATCAGCTGTGAGAAGGGCGGTCCCCATCCTGTTTTTCCTTTCCGTCTCCGTTCCTAACAGAAGCCAGAAATTCTGAGTTCCAGGAGATAAACTGACGTCGGTTTGCCCTGAAAAAGTGCCGACCCCAATTTCTCTCATTTCTCCATTTGTAGCATAATTTCCAACCCCACCCATGTCTCTGCAACTTCCAGAAGCACTGGTTCGTCACTGGGGGACATGGGGAGGGGGCTTCAAAAAAGCAAACCCCCCCCCCAAAGGCTGCTTTTTGCTCAGCTCTTGCTTCAGGGTCTGAGCTTGATGGCAGCGTTCCTTGTTCAGAAGAGACAGGATCACAGCATCTGATCCTGAACCAAAGTCAGGCAAAGGGAGTATTCCACAAGATGGGGACCCCCCACCAGGGCTGGATAATTCCCCCCCCCTTTTTTTGCAAAGTAGACATGTTTGCAGTGTGCTCAGAAAAGTGTTTTTAAAGTGGGGTGCTGGGGGCTTGGCCACCTCTTGCACTCAGATCCCCACTTTCTACAGGGGGTCTGACTGCAGGAGAAACGTGTGAAGCCACCCCTCCTGTAAAAAACTTGGGTCCGAAAGTTAAGGGTTTATTTCCAAAGTTTACAAGGAAGCAAGAGCGACACCCGGTGGCCAGATGGAAGAAATGCCTGGAAATTCTGCATTTGATTAGAATTCCGAAACTGTCGTCTCAGCGTCATGGGTTCTGGAATACTTCCCACTGAACTTTAAAAAAGTTACTTTTGGGGATTGCAACTCTCAGAGACCCCTGATGGTGGTGCCCCGGGGGACTTCGGCAGCTGTAGTGCGAAAGGGTAATGTGTTCCGTCCTTATGTCTTTGAATCAAGACATGGATTGCTTCTGTGTTTTGCTTGCCATTTCCTGCATTGGGCTCTGGAACATGTGAATAAATGCCTCTGAGGATGTGCAGAGGTTAAGAAGCAGGAAGAATTAAGAGAGATAAGAGAGAAGTGGACAAAAATATGTGTAATGTCAAGAAATTGGATAGAGAAACTTAATTTCCTTTTCCCATCCGTTTATACATAACGATAGAAGATAGAGGTGTCATGTGTAAAAGCAGATAAAGAGACTTCTGCAAACGATGCCTAATGAAGCTATGGAACTCACTGCCACAAGGTGTAATGACAAGGACCACCAAAATTAACTGGACAGATTTGTGGGAAAGACGATACTCGGTAAGCCAACATTGCAAAGTTCAGTACAAACAATAACAAAAGCAGGTGAAAATTTTTCAGCTGGGGTGGGGTGGGTCAAACAGAGCAGATATTTTATTAAATTTTGTTTTAAAAAGAAAATATATGTTCCGATCAGTTACAAATGACAAATTATAGGGCGCAAGACAATCCGGTGGCTGCTTGGTGTCCAAAACATCATCTCCGGTTTAGCCAAGAGGTGCCAAAATCCGGGGTGGCAAGCAAGCAGATGGAAAAGGTTACCCCCGCCCCCCATGTCTCCAAGGCCCAAAGAAGGGGGACGTGAAGAGGGTCACCCAAAGAGGCAGGAAGCCCAGCGAGGTCCTTGCAAGCACATGAGGGTGCTTTTGTCCTGGGGGGTTGGGGGTGTCTTCTTCAGCCCCAGACGGGCTTCGTCAATGTCCAGAAACCTACCAGAAAAGAGAGAATAGTCAACGCTGGGAAAAATAAGACCTTAATCCTGAACATATTTTAGGGCATGTCAATGTGGGTTACAACTTTCAAAAAGTAATGTTTTTGAACTTTGAGAGAAGGAACCGTCGAGCTGAATTTAGCAATCAGATGATGGGGGGGCACTATTTATTTATTTAAAATATTTTTACCTGGTTTTTCTGCATAAAAGGACCCATGGTGGCTTCCATCATCAAAGGGACAATGTTTGAAAAATAAAAATAATAAATATGCAAATTTTTTAAAAATTAAACAAGTACTATATTAAAAAAGGTAAATAAACTCAATACGTAGTAGAATACGCGTTTAAAAGCAACAGAGCACAACAGAGCAGTAACGTTCTTGGACTTTTGGGTCTGAGCAGAAGAGGACAAAGGCTGCTGACTTCATCAGCAGGTTCATCCTGTTCAAATTCTTTCAATTACGTGTTGAGCTCTGGCGAACGTAGTGCCTCTAGATGAATATGCATACAGTGAGATGCCAAATTGACCACCGAGATATCCCATTATTAAAATGTGAGAAACTGAGAGGTAGCTGGATTCCGTTACACTTTGCCAGGGGCTTTGCAAAAAGATGCTGCTGGCTGTTTTTTTTTTTTTTTAACTACAACTCCCAGTTTCCCCCCAGCTGGCTGGGGGAAACTGTAGGTTGTAGTCCAAAACAAACAAAACGCTTTTGGCTAAGCTCTGTCTTTTGACAATCATGTGTCTGGAACAATAGATGCAGGCCGTTTCCTGCAAGGGACGAAGGAAATATCTCAGGGCCTCTCGAGACCCGTTCGTTTTATTCGTCCCGGGCTTTTGCAGACCACAGACTCCCTTGCTCCCCATGCACGACCCTGTTCCCCTTTCTCGCTTCCCTCCTCGCCCCCCCCCCCCTTTTGAGACATTTCCACCTCCGGCCTCACCGTTAGCAGCCGAGGCCGCTGAGGGTCCCGATCCGGTCCAGTTTGATCCCGAAGCAGCCTTGTGGGGCCAGGATCTTCTTAGAGCGGCCCCGAAATTTCTTCCGGGCATTGAGGAGGTCATGGAAGAGGAGGGCCCAGGCACGGTCCGGGGGTGGCCCCGAGGGCCCAGGCATGTCCCGGGACAGAAGAGGATGTGGCTTGCCAAGGAGCTGGGCCAGGGAGTCCTGGGGGAGCGAGGAGGGGTCCCCTTCGATGTCAGAGACCAGGCGGGCCAGGTCCTCTCCGAGCATCTCAAGCAGTGACTTTGGGGAAGAGGAAAAGAGACATTTTGAGGGTGCCAACGAGGGAGTCCGTTCAGTGCTAAGGGATAAAGAGCTTCCACACTATAAACAGAAGCTACCCCCCCAAAAAAAAGCTGGTTCCCCTTTCTACCCCAATCTCCCCGCCCCCCAGAAACCTAAATTTATTTCTTATTTTCGCGTGCAGAGGGAGAAACCGTGGCTAGAGTCCCACGGATACTTCTGTAGGGTTGGCATCGCCTACTGTGACAAAACGGGTGCATCTTCGTGGACAGACAGACACGGCCCAGCACCTCATCAATTTGCCACAATTAGCCACTTGGCAAGGTGGCTCTTCCTCCCCCCCCCCCATTGCAGCCTTACAGACTGCTGTCAGCTGGTTGGGGGATTCTGGGCAAGGTTGTCCCTGGGCATTGCTGCTAAGAAGGGTCTGTTGATTGGAGATGGGCCAGGAACAAGGGAGACGCCCCCCCCCCAAACCGCAAAGGGCAATAGGACCAGCCATCAGGCCTGCCATGAGAGAGGGCTTCCTAAGGATTCGCCTGCAAGGGGCACATTTTGTAGGATCAGCTCTTTGCAACCCAGCTCCTGACCATGTGCAAACAGCGATTCAACTCAGAGATGGAGAAAAGTCTCTCCTTTTTTTGGGGGGGGGACTACAGTCCCCACAGTCCCCAAGACCGTACCACCCCTGGAAGAATTCTGGGGCTTGTTGTCCAAGAGGCAGCCGGGCTGTGCTGACGGTGGTCGGGCGAACCCTTCTCTGATTCGGCCCCTCATTTTTCATGCCCAGGGGTGGGAGCCAGGCAGCCCCTGAAGGGCCCACCGCCCCGAAGGAGCATGGAGAGAGAGAATATCAGGGGAGGGGGAACCCAGGGACCCTTCCCCACTTACCTGGGGCGAGCGGATGGGGGTCTGGGAGGCCAGCGGCGGCAGCAGCAGCAGCAGGAGGACGATGGAGGAGATGCTCCTCATCTTGGCCCAGAAAAACAAAGTCTTCTCTTTTGGGGGTCTCCGGGGGTGTGTGTGTGTGTGTCCCAAACGGGGCTGATGTGGTGGTGCATGGGCTCCAAGCATGCCTGCCCGCGGCTCTTATAGGGCTCCTCAGCCCACCGCCCTTCGCCCATCTCCCTGGGCAACCCGGGCCACCCCTTGCTGGCAGACTCTGGGCGCTGGGGAGGGTGTGTGTGTGCGCGTG